CATGCTGTGCTCCATTTACATTTTTGGGGACACATATTTTGTTTTTCTTCAGACTTCTTGTATTGTTCACTCACCGTATTATTTCTGTCCCTCATGTGGGAAAGAACTGGACAAACTGTTAGTCTGATAGCAGAGCAGCAGAGCTGTGACAGAAAGTGCGTTGATGTAAGCGTGATTTTGTTCTAAAATGGATTGGGGGCGTATGTAAACACCACACGACGGTTGCGTGACAATGACGACGTACAACATTCATCCGAAGGAGGTCCGGTATAAATTAAACCGCTTGTAATCGGACCGGTATGCGCTCACGTTCACTGTTTTTTTTTTTAATTTTTGCTCCCATGCACAAGGCTTAATCAGATTGATTATCTAACAGTAAAAAATCAATGCGTTCCTCCGGATCGCTCTTGTTTTATTTTCGCGGTCGGTCGATACAGCCATTCTCTTGTTTTCCATATTTGAAATCTGCCACGTGCACCATTTTAACGCTAATTGCGCACGATGTTGGTTCGCCATTGCCTCAGCCTATTTGTTTTATCCAAGTGAAATTCGGTTTAATTTGAGTCTCGCAAATGATCGGTGAATTTCCCCAGTTCCTATACGGAATTGGTTTCAAATTGGATTGGCACGTTCAGTCTGATTGCTCCTATCTTCGAGGTCAGATGATCTAGAGACCAGCTATAGTTAAACTGAATTATTATTATGGATTTCGTAATATCTGACGATTGTATTTTGTGTTTTGAATGTATGTGGTGTAGATATCGTATCTATAGCGGCAACGTGTGGTCCAGTATTCACTATTATCCCTCCATCACGTGATTGAAACAGCTCTTCCGAGTGCCACATTGGTGTGTATGTGAGTTATCAAAAGCTGTGTTTGTGTGTCACATTTAGTATCGTAGAATTTATGTAAGGGAACGGATCAGCTTCATCTGTTAACCGTAACATCCACTTCTGTTCAAGCTTAGTTATGTGAGAGTTGTATCATTGTCCTATCGGTTCTCATTGTTCCTAGGCCCGCATGCGTGGTGAAAACAAATGTTATGTTTGTTACATTTGTCGTCATCCCGTCTGATCATCCAACACAATGTGGCCATGTGTACTGTTAGTCCTAACGTAAATTATGGAATCAAATGGGAACTAACTGACTCCCGCGATCAGCTGTTTTGAACTAGGTTAGTGGTGTGTCATAATAGACGAGGCAAACCCTTTTCGTGTTGGACCTGCTCAATTGATATTCGGTATAGAATGCAAGACAGTCCCAGTTGGAGTTAGCCAACACGCAGGACGATGTCCAGCGCGTTTGTGAGACGAAACGGAGGATGGGTTTTGACCGGCCTCTTGCCACAGTGTCGAATCTGTTTCCCTATGGGTTGGTCGCACGCGTCCACAATCGAATACGGTCTGTTTGCTGTGACATTCTTTTGGCCTTTTCTGATACCTGTGCGTTTATTTCATTCCGAAGCTTAATTAGCTTTTGAGAACTAAAGTGAATGGGAACAGTGTCTTTCTGTTTACCTTGTTCCTCGGGCAAACGTTTAAAACGCGTTGTTTTCGCGGTCATTTTTTCCGGTAGCTTTTCCTTTTCCCATCGCCCGGTGCTTATAGTAATTTGTTGTTTGTTTTCTGTTCTGAACGATGTCGAAATAATTTTCCATCTTTTCACACATCGACTTCATTCCAGGTCAATGCACTTCGACTGCAACACCCGGTACAATTCATCTATACGCTGCGATCCTCTTTAGTCCCCACTCATTGATTCATTCATCCACCCTGTTTGCTTACCTCTTCACTTGCTTGTGTGTGTGTGTGTGTGTGTGTCTAGTCGCTTGCATTT